GAGATAGAAAAACTGCTCCAGTTACCGGCGGATATACAATAAAAGATTTGGGCAGATTCACACATTCGGTTGATCCGTGAGTAATCCGTACTTTTCACTTCGAAATTTTGTCGAAAAATAAAATCTCTTGCCATCTGTATTCTTTATTATTGTACTACTCAGCCGATTTCATATAAATATGGGCGTTTTCGCCGCAGACGCCGGAGCGTGTAAGGAGGTTGGGTTCGGCGCAGCGCCAGCTTTTCCAGCAGTTGTTGTCCCTTGGCCGCATCAGTAAGGCAGCGTTCAGACTTCGCGACGGCAGCGCTTCGGTCGCGCGATTCGACGATCGATGCGCATGCTTTCGACTGCAAATCGCGCGACCGAAGCGCTGCCGTCGCGAAGTTTGAACGCTGCCTAATTGGTGGAGAAAGGGCTGGCGACACGGCTAGCCCGGTCCCCATGACACCTAGCGATTAGGACTGCGAAACCTTCCAACTGAACAGTATCCCCCTGCGTTTGTTTATAAGAATGGCTCTTAACCTTTACAGGTTGCTCTTCGATACTGCATGGAACTTTGCTTCTGTACGTGCGAAGAACAGCAAAATTGTTCTCATCGAGAAAAGCATCGTAGTGCTGATTGAATTCAAATTGATTATTTTGATTGAATTTGAATTTAATTTTCAAATTGGTGCCGTAGACACCCCTCCCTTCCCTCCCCCAACCCCGTCAACGAAATAAATTGAGTAATCAGGAATCGTTTTAGGCTCTTCCTGTCGCAAATATGAATAGAAATACTTTTCATTGAAGGTTTCCCTGCAAATCATTGCTTCTTCCAAATAATCGGCTGACATATCAGTTTTTACGGAGTTACAGTCCATATAAAACTACGCATTCTCAGATGCGCTATAAAAGGGATTGGCAACTGAAATGGCAACATGAAATGTTAGACAGTGTGATGTCAGCCTGCCCTGCTCTAGCTTTGCCTACTTTCTAGCGATAATACCTTTTTGCTCATCAGAGACGTACTTAGCGACCATGTAGTAATATTTCACGACGCGGCATTGCCATTTGACGTGTTCCATGCTTCCCGCTGTTGTCATTCATCTCAATTCCTCTAGAAATGTGGTACAGCACCTCGTCCTGACTCAGAGTTCCGACGAAAGCCCGTTCGCGTTGAACATGTTTCTTTCTGGAGCCAGCCATGGGAAACTAAGTTAGTGGTGCTCTCTCCACCAGTTAGGGGCGATCTCTCAGGTTCCAGGCTGCATGTTCCATAATTGCTGGTAGGCGTCTACTCCTCAACTGTAAGAGCACCTCTTCAACAGTACAACGTGCACTTGGGATTGCTAGATTTCACCGACATTTTCACAGACCTAGTAGTTAACGTGTATTCATTGATATCTCATAGTGCGAACAGAGAGTCATAATCCCGGGTGAATAAGAAGCATCAGGTAAGGCTCAGGCGGATATGGCTGCAAAATATGTTCTCACCTCCTGCTCACACAGTTGCGTGGCATGTCCTCCCGGCCCAGTGAAACAATTCGAATAAAGTGGACATCCAGGAGGCAAAAAAATGCAAACCTACCATGTTGTGTAAGGATCTTCCAACCGATAACACCCATTGGATGCCGGATCACCAGCAATCTTGGACGAGAAGTCTTGTACCTCACTGAACTACCTCCAGCTTTCCAGTAAACGAAGGATATCTGGAGAATAA